AAAGATCTCTGGCACATAGAATGTCTATTAAATCTTGGAATGAGTTCGCTATTCGAGATATATTTGTGTCAATAGATTCCAAAATCTTGAGGGACTGTGATGTCATTTCCACCAAATTTTTTGAAATTCTTGGAATACTTGTAATCTTCTGCCGTTTCATTTTGGTGCCATGATCGTCATTATTACATCTTTTCCCATTATTTATTGAATAGTCATGATCTATGTTTGTAATTTCATCATCCATTACTTCTTCTGATGACTTATCCATCTGAGATGATGTATCAACTACTTCAATCTCATGAACTATTTGTGGTGTAGAAGCCTGGGAGTGAGATTTCTGCAATAATAAAGATAATCATGCTTTTTGCATCACTTAAATCAGAAACATCAGTAATTCTATTAACAAATAACCAATTTCGTTATGCAAACAGGAAAAGAACGACAATGAAGAATTAGCCTCCTTAGGACACCGTTATATTTTTGTATACTTTCTATTCGTGTATGTATGTTTTTTAAAACTGAATTCTACTTAGGTACTATGTTTTGTCCTAATTCTTGAACACCTACATCACCAGCAATACATTTTGTTCCCATCAAACTCAGAAGTTTTTCTTCTAATGGTGTTAATTGTGGGGCGTCAAAACTGCCCCCACCAGTCTGCAATGAAGAATTTCTAATTCTTGAAGCTATAGATTTTACCTTTGATTTCCAGTCTGTTACAGCCTGAAAAGTATAATTCAAAGTAAAATAATCAACATAAATTTATTAAATATAGAATATATAGGTACTATAAGTACCTATATATGTAACAAAGAAAATTAGTTTAATTTTCTTATCCTTCTCCATTCATTTATTGTTTTCTCTTTGTATCTATCCTAAACTATTCAACTTTATTGCTACTGACTTCCATAAGTTATTGCCTACAGCCTTTCCTTCGATTCCATTGAATTTATTAGTTTTTAACATCGGATTCTTTTCTGCAATGTCGAGAAATGCTTCCCAGTGACTAGGCGCGACTCTCATTTTTCCACATTGAAGTTCCTTGATTTTTAATTTAATGTTAAATATGTTTTATTAAATTTTGCCCTTTTTTAAACTTATTTAGATATTTGTTTTTGTGACAGATAAAAACCATGACAAACCACAAAACAGAAAACACAGACCACAATATTTTTGTATTTATGCCATTTATGCGCCATTCTTCTTGCTCTTCTTGCTTCGCCGGCTCAAAGGCCTTCGATACGGTTTGGCATGAAGGCCTACTGATGAAAATGCTCACCAACCAATATCCCATATCCTTTACCAAACTCATAAAATCCTACCTTCACCACCGAAAATNGATCTCTGGTACATAGAATGTCTATTAAATCTTGGAATGAGTTCGCTATTCGAGATATATTTGTGTCAATAGATTCCAAAATCTTGAGGGACTGTGATGTCATTTCCACCAAATTTTTTGAAATTCTTGGAATACTTGTAATCTGCCGTTTCATTTTGGTGGCATGATCGTCAATATTACATCTTTTCCCATTATTTATTGAATAGTCATGATCTATGTTTGTAATTTCATCATCCATTACTTCTTCTGATGACTTATCCATACTTTATTGTAAAGTCTTTATGGAAAATAAAGGTTATTTATTTATTTATTTAACTATTTGTGGTGTAGAAGCCTGGGAGTGAGATTTCTGCAATAATAAAGATAATCATGCTTTTTGCATCACTTAAATCAGAAACATCAGTAATTCTATTAACAAATAACCAATTTCGTTATGCAAACAGGAAAAGAACGACAATGAAGAATTAGCCTCCTTAGGACACCGTTATATTTTTGTATACTTTCTATTCGTGTATGTATGTTTTTTAAAACTGAATTCTACTTAGGTACTATGTTTTGTCCTAATTCTTGAACACCTACATCACCAGCAATACATTTTGTTCCCATCAAACTCAGAAGTTTTTCTTCTAATGGTGTTAATT